TTGGTAATATCTGGATTCTCTGACTGGTTCCAGGACAATTAGGTTAATAGATTTTGGTCAATATCTGGATTCTCTGACTGTCCAGCAAATTCAGGTTAAATAGATTTTTGGCAGTCATATCTTGGATTCTCTGACTGTTCCAGCAATTCAGGTAAATAGATTTTTTGGGCAGTCATACCTGGATTCTCTGACTGTTCCAGCAATTAGGTAAATAGATTTTGGCAATATCTGGATTCTCTGACTGTTCCAGCAATTCAGGTAAATAGATTTTGGCAGTCATACCTGGATTCTCTGACTGTTCCAGCAATTCAGGTAAATAGATTTTGGCAGTCATATCTGGATTCTCTGACTGTTCCAGCAATCCAGGTAAATAGATTTTGGCAGTCATATCTGGATTCTCTGACTGTTTTCCAGGCAACTTAGGTAAATAGATTGTAGGCAGTTCCATACCTGGATTGATCTGACTGTTTATGCGATTAGGATAAAAATAGACTTCATCGGATAATTAGTGGAGATTCATGGGAGCTGGTTACGCCAGGAATGTCAGGTAAAGTAAGAAATGTTGGCGCACAGATTCAATAATGACTTGGATTGTCCCTGAGCTTGGGTTCAAGCATTCAGAGTAATAGGTTTTGGCAGTCAATATACTGCGATTTTACTGACTGTTCCGAGAGATTCCAGAGGATAAGATAGGATATATGGGCAGTCCATACTGGATAATCTGACGAGTTTCCAGGTTAGCGGGTAAATAGATTCTGGTAATTTCTGGTGTCTCTGACTGTTCCAAGCAAGTAGGGTTAAAATAGATTTTATTGGTGAATATCTGGGTTCGCTGTAGGCATAATGGTAATTAATTCAGGGTAAGATAGGGGTTGTTGGGCCAAGTCATAACCTGGTATTCTCGCTGGACTGTATAGAGCCAAAGGACCATATAAGGGTAAATAGAGTTAATTGGCGCAGTCATAGCACGTGGAACTTTGCACATCAGACTGTCTCCCAGCGTAGGCGAGATGTCAGGTGAAATTTGGATGAGGGCGGGACTCATGCCGCATACATAGCCACTCCCCATGGAGTGGAGGGGGTTTTTGGTATGTCATCAATGGGTAGCGTCGCCATCAAGTACGTGAAGATATGAGAAAAAGTTAAACAAAGCAAACAAGCCAATGAAAACAGATAATTCTTAAGTAAATATACGATGGATAGAACGAAAATAAATTCATCAAACTAACAAAATAATTAGTGAAGAAAAAAATGATGAATGCAGATAGTGAGAATCTCACTCTATTTTCTCATTTACAGTTGAGTCTATTATAGAACTGATTTATCACTTATTGACATATAATGATGCCATTACATAGTTCGATGCCATTAAAAGATCTAAAGTTTTCAGAAAACTCCAAGTGTATCAGCATATGTTTTAATTACTTCTTTTATTCGTTATACGGAGTTCATTTCTTTCAAATGTTCGAATTTCATAAACGTATACAGCATTGCATGTAGTTATTGTTGGAAAGCAAAAGAAAATGGCGAATTTCAAAACTATCATTGTCATAACCATTTACAGATAAGAAGATTAAAAAAAAAAAACTCCAGAATAATAAAGTAAACTACATACACTTCAAAAAAAAGTTGGTAATCTTCATATAAACGAATAAAACAATACCTCTTTCAACTGCAGGCTTACTCTAAGGTCCATAATAGCATAAAATCAAGGAAACACAAAGCAAAAACTTCAGAAAAATAGATAGTCATTTGAAGGATAAGCCAATGGTAGTTCAACGAGCCGACGCGACGCCTGTGCGCGACATAAACAAGGTCTTTGACTCCAAGGTCTAAATAAATGCTTATATCAATAATCATTTAGACCTTGTTTGACACCCAGAAGCATACAAGGTCATACGCCACGGGACGTTTGCGCATCTGGACTCGTTTTCTCGTTCATTGTCGTCCGTTTCTTTGGATGATGCTTTAAAATGGTAAATTTCTCGTAAGATTACAGTGTGTTATGAAACTTGAAAGGAAGTTTGTTTTAAAATGCTTATAAAATATTGCAAACATTAAAGAAATTTAATACATAAATCTAAATGATCGATATAAAAGATGTCCGTGGGCGAACCAAATGTCCGTTGGAGATTTTCCTTTCGCCTTGTCT